CCACTGACCCAGTGTCTCTGTCCCTGTGTCACTGTCCCTGTCCCCGCAGGTTCCAAGACGCGGAAGATCCCGTACCCCACCCGCAACCCCTTCACGTGGCTCTTCCTGCTCGTGTCCTGCCCCAACTACACCTACGAGGTCAGGGACACCTGGGGACACCTGGGGACACCTGGGGGGGACACCTGGGACACCTGGGGACACCTGGGGACACCTGGGACACCTGGGGACAGCTGGGACCCCTGGGAGACCTGGGGACACCTGGTGGGGACACCTGGGGACACCTGGGGACACCTGGGGGGTGTGACAGCCCTGGGGACACCTGGGGGAGAACATGGCCATGGGGGGGGATGGGACATGGGGACACCTGGGGGGGGTGTGACAGCCCTGGGGACAGTCCTGGGGGACACCCCAAAGGTGACACCCCCAGAGGTGACACCCCCAGAGGTGACACCCCGAAGGTGACACCCATGGGTGACATTCCCACCCCCCCATCTGTCCCCCCAGGTCGGCTCCTGGATCGGTTTCACCATCATGACCCAGTGCCTGCCCGGTGAGGGGACACGGGGGGACACGGGGGGACACGGGAGGGGGGTGGCACCCCGAGACCCCGGCTCTGTGTCCCCTGAGCCACCCTGGGGTGCCCCTGTCCCCTCTATCTGTGTCCCCTGTGCCACCCCGGGGTCCCTGTGCCACCCTGGGGTGCCCCTGTCCCCTCTCTCTGTGTCCCCTGTGCCACCCCAGGGTCCCCAGGAATTTTGGGGTGATTTGGGTGGGTTTCGAGGGGATTGTGAGGGGATTTTGGGATGATTGGGGTGGGTTTGGGTTGGATTTTGGGTGGATTTTGGGATGATTGGGGTGATTTGGGGTGATTGGGCAGATTTTAGGTGGATTTAGGGGTGATTTGGGTAGATTTGGGGGGAGGGGACACGGGAGGGGGGTGGCACCCCGAGACCGCGGCTCTGTGTCCCCTGAGCCACCCTGGGGTGCCCCTGTCCCCTCTCTCTGTGTCCCCTGTGCCACCCCGGGGCCCCCAGGAATTTTGGGGTGATTTGGGTGGATTTGGGGGTGATTTGGGTGGATTTCGGGATATTTGGGGTGGATTTGGGTGGATTTGGGGGTGTTTGGGGTGGATTTGGGTGGATTTAGATTTGGGGGATTTGGGTGGATTTTGGGGTGATTTGGGTGGATTTGGGGGGATTTGGGGTGGATTTGGGTGGATTTTGGGATGATTGGGGTGGATTTGGATGGATTTTGGGGTGATTGGGTGGATTTTGGGTGGATTTAGGGGTGATTTGGGTGGATTTGGGGGAATTTGGGGTGGCTTTGGGTGGATTTTAGGGTGATTTGGGTGGATTTGGGGGTGATTTGGGGGTGATTTGGTGTGATTGGGCAGATTTTGGGTGGATTTTGCGGTGATTTGGGTGGATTTCGGGATATCTGGGGTGATGGGGTGGATTTAGGGGTGATTTGGAGTGGATTGGGGGAATTTGGGGTGGATTTGGGTTGGATTTTGGGGTGATTTGGGGTGATTGGGCAGATTTTGGGTGGATTTGGGGTTGATTCTTAGGGGATTTGGGGGTGATTCTTAGGGGATTTCGGGTGGTTTAGGTGGATTTGGGGTGGATCTGGGGTGGACTTGGGTGGATTGGGGGAATTTGGGTTGGATTTAGGGGTGATTTAGGAGGGATTCAGGGTGGATTTGGGGGCGGGGATTTTGAGGGGATTTGAGTGGATTTTGGGGTGGATTTAGGGGGATTTTGGGCGGATTTGGGTGGATTTTGAGGGGATTTGGGTGGATTTGGGTGGATTTTGAGGGGATTTTGGGCGGATTTGGGTGGATTTTGAGGGGATTTGGGTTGGATTTGGGTGGATTTTGAGGGGATTTGTGTGGATTTGGGTGGATTTTGAGGGGATTTGGGTGGATTTTGAGGGGATTTGAGTGGATTTTCCATCATCATCCCCTTCCTGCTGTGACACCGCGGGGACAGCCCGGGGACATCCATCATCATCCCCTTCCTGCTGTGACACCGCGGGGACAGCCCGGGGACAGCCATCATCATCCCCTTCCTGCTGTGACACCGCGGGGACAGCCCGGGGACAGCCATCATCATCCCCTTCCTGCTGTGACACCGCGGGGACACCGCGGGGACATCCATCATCATCCCCTTCCTGCTGTGACACCGCGGGGACAGCCCGGGGACAGCCATCATCATCCCCTTCCTGCTGTGACACCGCGGGGACACCGCGGGGACATCCATCATCATCCCCTTCCTGCTGTGACACCGCGGGGACAGCCCGGGGACATCCATCATCATCCCCTTCCTGCTGTGACACCGCGGGGACAGCCCGGGGACAGCCATCATCATCCCCTTCCTGCTGTGACACCGCGGGGACACCGCGGGGACATCCATCATCATCCCCTTCCTGCTGTGACAGCCCGGGGACACCGCGGGGACATCCCCAGGACATCCCTCACTGTCCCCTCCCTGCTGTGACACCGCGGGGACACCGCGGGGACAGCCCGGAGACACCGCGGGGACACCGCGGGGACATCCCCAGGGACAGCCCCCAGTGTCCCCTCCCTGCTGTGACACCGGGGGGACACCCTGCTGTGTCCCTGCCAGTCGTGCCCTGAGCCCTGGGGACAGTGAGGGGACAGGGGACGCGAGCCCCTTGTCACCCTGGTGTCACAGCAGGACACGGCAGTGTGGCCCCGCTGTCCCCTGTCACCTCCGGGTGCAATCCCCGGTGTCCCCTCCCCTGTGGCAGTGTCACCTCCCCCGTGGCAGTGTCACCTCCCCGGTGGCAGTGTCACATCCAGGGTGCCATCCCCGGTGTCCCCTCCCCGGTGGCAGTGTCACCTCCCCAGTGGCAATGTCCCCTCCCCGGTGGCAGTGTCACCTCCCCAGTGGCAATGTCCCCTCCCCGGTGGCAGTGTCACCTCCCCAGTGGCAATGTCCCCTCCCCGGTGGCAGTGTCCCCTGCAGCGCTGCCCCAGTCACCCACAGCCACCCCTGGTGACACCGCGGTGTCACCCCACGTGTCCCCTGCCCAGTGCCACCCCTCCCCGTCCCCGCAGGTGACAATAAATGCCATCCCCCTCCCGCGTGTGGCCTGTCACTGTCCCCTCCCAGGGGACACCTCTGGGGACAATCCCGCTGTCCCCAGGCTGGGGGGGGGCGGTGGCTTCGCGATGTCCCCAAGAGCAGCGACGAGCCAGCGCGGCGTCACTCAATGTCACTCGGTGTCACTCGACAGCTTTATTGGGGGTGGCCTCGTGTCACTGTCACCGGGGTGTCACTCAATGTCACTCAGTGTCACTCGACAGCTTTATTGGGGGGTGGCCTCGTGTCACCGTCACCGGGGTGTCACTCAATGTCACTCGGTGTCACTCAGTGTCACTCGGTGTCACTCAGGTGTCACTCAGTGTCACTTGACAGCTTTATTGGGGGGTGGCTTCCTGTCACTGTCACTGGGGTGTCACTTGGGTGTCACTCGGTGTCCCCGGGTGTCACTCAGGTGTCACTTGGTATCCCAGATGTCACTTGGTGTTGCCAGTGTCACTCAGGTGTCACTTGGTGGCACTCAGTGTCCCAGGTGTCACTCGGTGTCCCTGGTGTCACTCAGTGTCATTCAGGTGTCACTCGATGAGCCAGTGTGTCACCGCCTGTCACTGTGTGTCACCGTGTGTCACTGTGTCACTGTGTGTCACCGTGTCACTGTGTCACCGCCTGTCACTGTGTCACCGTGTGTCACCACTGTGTCACTGTGTGTTAGCACCATGTCACTGTGTGTCACTGTGTGTCACCGCCTGTCACTGTGTCACTGTGTGTCACCGCCTGTCACTGTGTGTTAGCACTGTGTCACCGTCACCACCGTGTCACTGTGTCACCGTGTGTCACCATGTGACCACTGTGTTAGCACCACGTCACCGTGTGTCGCCACGTCGCCGCCTGTCACCGTGTCATCACCGTGTCATCACCGTGTCCCCGTGTGTCACCACACCACTGTGTCACCATGTCACCGCCGTGTCACTGTGTGTCACCACTGTGTCACCACGTCACCGCCGTGTCACTGTGTGTCACTGTGTCACCGTGTGTCACCACTGTGTCACCGTGTCACCACGTGTCACTGTGTGTCACCGCGGCACTATGTCACTACCTGTCACCGTGTCGTCACCGTGTCACCGCCTGTCACTGTGTGTCACCGCCTGTCACTGTGTCACCACACCTCTGTGCCACTGCGGTGGCCCCATGTCCCCAAGCCCCTCCCGTGTCCCTGTCACCCTCCTGCTGTGCCCCAGTCCTGTGTCCCCCGTGTTCCCTCCAGCCCCAATGTCCCCCATGTCCCCTACTCCTGGTGCTGCCAGCTGTCCCAGCCGTGTCCCCCCATCGTGTCCCCAATGCCCCCCCATGTCCCCATGATGTCCCCATGTCCCTGTCCCTTACTCCTCATGCTGGCAGCTAGCTGTCCCACCAATGATGTCCCCAGTGTCCCTGTGTCCCCAACGTCCCCATCATGTCCCCATGCTGTCCCCGTGTCCCTTACTCCTGGTGCTG